CAGTGCCTGTTGCTGGGATACAAAGGTATACACACCATGACTTCTCACCCTGGAGGGACTCATGGGTTATGTGGAAGACAGGAATGTAAATAATCAGAGGACACATTATAGCTCTGATGACGGGTGTGTCTAAGTGCTGCCAGAACATAGAGTGAGTGAGTCATGGCTCTGGGGAGTCAGGAAACATTACAAAAGAAATGACACTGGAGTTGTTTCCAAGGATGAGCAGTAGTTCCACATATAAAGGAGTGATGAAAGGACATTCCAGAAGGAGGAAACAACATTCACAAAGGCCTGCCATAGTGGATGTCAAGACACACATGGAGGATGAAAACCACTACGTACGGCTTCATACATAATAGTACATACATATTATGTTGTGTGGAGTGTCTAAGATTGGGGCCATTTTTAAAAAAGATCAGTCTTGTGGCTATTTTAAAAGTTACATGGAAAAAGAAAAGACAAGGGCAGATAAAGCAGTGAGGAGACTATTGCACCAGTCCATAGAGGAGATCATGGAGACTTGAGATATAGCAGGGACAGTGAGTATGGACAGTAAAGGATATCACTGAGAACAACTATGAAGTTGAATGAACAGTGAATGGCATTATATGTTGGGGTGAGGTAGCAGGAGGATCGAGGGTGACTCCAGGGTTTCTAGATTTAAAAATATTATGAATAAACTTAGGTGAAGTATATTTATAAAGGGTGATAATGTGTTGTTTTTGTCCACATTGAGTTGGTTAAGCCAAAAGCAAAAGGCCTAAAAACATATATAAACTCAAGATTAGAAGGCCACACTAGAGCTTATGTACAGGGTCAGCTTAGTTTGAAGACATCTCCAAATAAGGAATGCTCTTTGTAAGAATTTTAAGCCTCCCTGGAGAAACAAAAGAATATGCTATATCTACCCCTGCCTTTAGACAATCTCAGTACTAATTCCATCTTTAGCCAATGACAATGTTCCAATTCTAGGAACTTTTACAGCAAAGAAAGAAGAATGTAAGGAGTTAAATGCTTGTTTTTTTTTTTTTGGCTTGGTGATTAGGCTCTAAAATCATATGGTTGAAAACTCTATCACCTAGCCTCATTGTCAACTGCAAAACTTACCTCTCCCAACCCTAGCCCCACTTCTCTGTAAGAAGCAGGAAGTAATTAGAGTTGGGGTGCTCTTTGGTCTCTGGATTAAACAATATTAACTCATTTTCCAGTGATTTAAGATGTGTGAACCAAGCCCAATTTCTGCCATCCTACCACTCATCTATCTACCCATCAAGCAACAGATTCACATTAAGTTAGGAATCTGGAGATACCAAGATGAATAAGATAGAGATTCCTCCTTTAAGAAGTGCATAGTCTATCAAGGGATGAGTGGGAGAGATAAAGCCATTAGGACTCAGTAATTCACATTCTGTTTGGGCCCGCTGGTCTATGTTCTTAGCTTTCCTATTTCACCGCTTTCATCATTAGCTTCTAGGCCAGCATCAAGCCCCCGGATCATCCAAAGTTGGCAAATTGTGTGATCAGAGAAATAACTTCTCTGTTGTAGTGGAGAGTCCTTGTCTGGGACCAGAGCTGCCTGGATTCTTGTGCCTCTAAGGCACTCATTAGCTTTAGGTCTCCACAGAGGTTCATTTTTCTTGGGCTTCCTCATCTTCAGAATAACAGAATGGGAACAGCTAATTCCTGGTGGTCCTTATTGCTCTGCATTCTGAAAGTCTCTGATCCTATTCAAGTTTGAAATGGTATCTGGACACCCCTTTGTAATGGGTGATGGGATCCATAACTTGGACTCTGAAGTCAGGTTGATCTGGACAGAGACTTCTTCATGGGAGGGATTTCACAGATACAATTGGCATGTGCACCATAGACCCCAAAGCACTTTTATACCCATTATCTGATTCTATCGTTATGAGAACCCAATGAAGCATTTTTACACCAATCTTTCTCTGAAGAAACTCAAGTCCAGAATGCTAAATGGTTAATCAAATGCTAAGTACTTTAGATTAGTTATTTCATTTAATTCACACAATAATCCTATGACTTTTCTAATTCTCCTCCTCCTTTTTCTTCTTCCTTCCTTTCTTTCTCTTCTTTTCTTCCTCCTTCTCCTTATTTTTTTTTCTATCTTATAAGTAAGGAATCTGAGGCTCATGAAGGTTAAACAACTTTCACCCCACTAGCAAGTACTAGAGCTCAGATCCAACCCCAACCCTCTCTAAATCTAAAGTCTCTTCTCACAAGCTTGATCAGAATCTTAAATGCCTATAGGGGCTGGACAGTTACCTAAGCAAATGGAATTATCCAGGTGGAAGGATTATTTCACTTCCCTTTAAATTTCACCAAAGTAAAATAAGAACACAGGTAAAATAATAAAAGGAAGTTTACCATTTGCATTGCATTGTGGATATAGTTAAAAAAAATAAAGATGGAGAATTACAGAACATCAAAGTATATGACCTGCCTAAGAGGGGCAGATGTTAATCAGATCATGGTCAAGTCAGGTGGGCCCGCCTATGCCAGATCTTTTGATTTTAAGAGAAAACTGGATATCTGTAATCCTTAAAAAAAAACCTCTCTGTTTCTAAATATTAATGATTACTTACAAAATTATGTAAGCAAAATGATTTAGCTAAAGATAAGAAGGTATCCATCTTGACTGTATCTGGCTCACAAGATGCCAGTTTATTGTTTCTGTCCTGCACTGTACTGCTCTCTTGTGCTCTCTTGAAGGGTTTACTCCATAGCATTAGCTGTGCACCTTCTGTGATGATCAGGTTGCTCAGCTTAGACTGGGATACCAAAGGCAGCCATTGGTCCAGCTGTATCTGCTGTTTGGTCAGCAGTTACTCTGAGTAGATGTTAAATATTTTGAATATCATTCTTGGCTGGATGCTTTTGCATAAAAAATTTGCCTTAATCCTCACCACAGCTCAGCGAAGAAGATATAATATCTCCATTTTGCAGATAAGTAAATTAATATTTAAGTCAGTTATAAAGGACACACAGCTGTAAGTAGCCAACCTGGGATGACTCAGCTCTGACCCAAACTTCTCTTCATTCTGTAACTTTGACGTGATTTTAACTACTTCCAGTCTAGGGAGTTTTTCTTCCTTTATATCCATCTGGTGAGAACAGCAGACAAGGAAGAAGGTAGGAGGCTGGAGTCATGGTTTAGGAGAAAAGATACCTTTGTCACCCCTCATCATCTCCACCATCAGCTCTTCTAAGGGTGGAGGAGAAACAGACAGGGTGAAAAAGGAGAAAGAAAACAAGAATCTGCTCTTCCACAGTCCAGAAGCTTCAGCACTGAAGTGAGACACTCCCACAACCTGTAGGTGACTGCAAGGACAGGCACACAGGGAGGGGACAGGCTGCTGGAATGCCAACCTGGGTGATGAGCCAGGCAGATGCCAACCAATTGTCTCATGATCTAAGCCAGACCCAGAACGCTTTATATAAAGACAGCCCTCTGTCCAGATGCTTCAGCCTGAATGACTGCTTACCTTCGGGAAGGTAAATCTGGGGGCTGGGTCCTGGGACTGGGGTGGAGATGATGCTCTGGGGTGCTCAGATTCACAGGGGTGAGACACAGTGAGGGGAGAAACTGGCAGCAGAAAAAGAATGGCACATCAACCCGAGAAGAAAAGTCTGGTGGATTTTTAGGAGACACAAAAAGAATATCTGTGGAGTCTGTGTGAAGAAATAAGGCATTAAAGTCAGTGTATTTGCTTTTAATAACCTCAGGTACCATTCTTCCTCTTCAGGACCTCCCTCCCTGGAAAAGAGGTATTAGTAATTGCAACCCGTGAACAAAGTTAGATGCAGGAGGGTTACCTTCCCCAAGGGCATATGTATTTCAATAATATGTATAAATGGAGAATGGAAAGCTTTGCCCTTCATGAGAAGTATTTTCAATATTTCAGGAGCTTATTGAGAAGTGTTTTGTTGGGTGAGTTGATTCTCAAACCAGCCTCCCTGCTGTGCTCCTCACTGGGTGGCCTGTATGTGAACAGGTGGATTTGGGGAGAGTTTTGGGGGGGGGGTTCTGCTCTCTGTTTCTCCCTGCTGGGTGTGGTGTTGAAGAGTGTGTCTCTGTCTCCCAGATCAGGTTTGTAATACTTCTACTGTGTGGGCTTTAAGTAGGGCTGAATATCAATCTCATAATTAGGAACCTGGCACTTTGTGGATTACCGCCTCTCGAATAACTCCGCCCTAGCTCTCAGAGGGGCTGGAGAGTAATCTTTTTGAAGCTAGCAGGTGAATAAGAACAGCAACCCACCTGGCAAAGTTGTCATGTTGGTCCTGAGCATTTCTAAGGCTGGTGTTTTGTATGTTCGTGTTATATGTATGCCTAGGAGGCATACATATAACAAACTCACCTAAAGATGATTGAATATACAGAAACAAACATTTTAAGTGGGGGTTGAGCTGCTCAGTATGTAACTGGATTCTCTACTTGCCAGTGGACACATTGAGTGCAGAAGGTGCCTGAGTGCTTGTTCTCATATAAGCATTTTTTTCATGTTTGCACAGAAAATGTGTGTGAGGAAGCTCCTATGGTTGTGGAGTCCCCACTTTGGACTACAGCCTTGCGAGCACAGGTTACTTCTGTAGAGCTCTGTCCCACCACTTAGGACCCCAGGAAGTGATGGGAATCCTCTTGTCGTTAGCACCCTCCTGTGCTGGACACTGGTATGGCACCCTCCAGAGAAAGAGCCTGGATACCTATGATCCTGGCTGTGTCCTTGAAGCTGTCTCAGATCAGGATCTCAGTCAGGCCACTGGCAGATCCAAGGCAGGTCTCTTGGGCAATAGTGACTAATCTTGGGTCCAGACAACTCTAAGTATTCTCGAATGAAGGTTAAAGGTGGGGTTAGAAAGGCCAGGGCCGAAGCGGGGTGTCTTCCACTTGGTCCTGGCCCCTCCTCCCCAACTCTCACCCTTCTAAAGCTGGTCTTTCCACCCTCAGGTCCTGCTCGCACGCCTGCATCGGAACCATGTGTGACCAGTTCTGCATGCCGCTCCCCCAGTGCTGTGTGAAGGGTTCCTCCTTCTACCCCTCCTCCTCCTCCTATTCCCAGGGCCAGGTGGTAGCTCCAGCCCCTTGTGGGATGCAAGTCGTGGAGTGCCCTGCACCATGCCCAGTTCAAGTTTCCCAGGTGAAGTGCCAGGTTCCCTGCGAGACCAAGACCGTACAGGTGAAAAGCCAGGCACCATGCCAGTCTAAGACCACGCAGGTGACGTGCCAGGCTCCGTGCCAGTCCCAGACCACGCAGGTGACGTGCCAGGCTCCGTGCCAGACTGAGGTTTGCTATGTGCCCTGTGAAGCCCCGTGCCCTGTTCAGACCTGCTATGTGCAATGCGCTCCAGCTTGTTACACAGAAACTCGCTACGTGGAATGCCCAGTCCAAACCTATGTACCCTATCCAGCTCCCCAGCCTGTCCAGACTTACGTACCGTATCCCCCATCGTGCCAGCCACAGGGGAGATTCTCCACCCAGTGCCAGTATCAGGGCTCCTTCAGCAGCTGCGCCCCCCAGCGTCAGTCCCGGCCTTCAATTCGCACTTACGCACCGCAGTGCCAGACCCAGGGCTCTTACGGGAGCTTCCCGGCGCAGCGCCGCGCCAGGAGCACCAGCAGATGTCTCCCTCCTCGCCAGCTGCAGCCTTCTTACCGCAGCTGTTCCCCGCCACGGCGCTCTGAGCCCTACTTCAGCAGCTGCATGCCATCAAGGTGCGCTTCGGGTTCCTATAACTACTGCACCCCACCACGCCGCTCCGAGCCCATCTATCACAGCCACTGTGCTCGGGGTCCCAGTGCCAGCTGCTCTCAGAGACGTGGACCCAAGTGCCGCATAGAGATTTCCTCGCCCTGCTGCCCCAAGCAGGTCCCGCCCCAGAGATGTCCTGTTCAGATTCCGCCCATGAGACGCTGCTCTGAGGGCTGTGCTCCACGACCCTCCTGGGGTGCCTCCTGCCCAGAGCTGAGACCACGTGCAGAGCCAAGCTTCCGTCCACCCCGGAATTTTGACCAGTGTCCAGAGCAATCAAGACCCCGATGTCCACTTCCTGCCCCACGTCCATACCCACGCCCAGCACCATGCACCAGTCCTGAGCGCCGCCCGTGTTCTCCACCACCGCGATTTCCGGAACCCCGCTTCTGTCCGGAACCCCGCTTCTGTCCAGAACCAAGTCCACCCCCACGTCCAGCTCCACGTGTAGCCCCACGACCTCGCCCAGCACAGTGCGAGTTTCCAGAGCCGCGTCCACGTCCACAGCCCTTTGAGCGCCCAGAACCTTGTCCAGAGCCAATTCCCCTTCCAGCGCCCTGCTCCAGCCCAGAACCCTGTGTGCAGCCTCGGCGCTGTCCCAGCCCCTGCTCAGGCCCAAACCTAGTTCCACGCTCAGGAGACATAGGCTGTCATGAGTCCTGTCCAGGCCGCCTAGACACTGAGGCCCCCAGCTGTGGCCCAGGTGGTTATAACCAGTCTGAAGAGAGTGGTGGTAGCTTCGGACCTTGTGATGTGTTTCCAGAGCCACGGGGTCAGGGTGGCTGTGAAGACCACGGAGGTCCCTCTGCTGGAGCGAAAGGTGGGGCCTATGCTGGAGTAAAGAGTGCCTACTTTTAAAGGAAGCATGTCTAAAACATCCCTGCCTCCTGCCCTGAAGAAGTTGCTCCTCCCTTCCCAGCAGTCACAGCTTCTGTGTTCTTGTTTGTTATGCTCCAAAGATAGTCCCAGGCTCCCTGTGGTAGAGGTGATGTCCAAACTCCTTTGCATGTCATCACAGGACCCACACCTGGGTCTCAGGTGCTTCTGCTGCCTTTCAACTAACTCCTCTCCTGTATGCATCCTCAGTTCTAGCCAGACCAGTCTCACCACCAGGGCACATCTTGGGTGTTTCCCAGGACATACTTCAGATATCCCTGCCTCCAAGCTTCTGTTCACTCCCACCACCACCATTCCTGGGCCCCTTCTCTGCTACTCCCAGCACCTGAAACCCAACCATCTTTCAAGACTTCTTCCTTGGAGCCTTTTCTGCTTGTTCCTACTCACAGGAGTCTGTGCCAACTTCCTAGAATTCACTGCAGCATCCACACCATCCATTTGGCAAGTGTCTTGCAACATCTCTTGAACTATTTTATTTTTCAGGTGTGTCTGTCTTACCTGCCCAACTAGATTGTGAACTCCTATTGAATGGAGTCAAAATGTCTTGAAAGTCTCTTGCTTCTCCTGGGGCTTGTGGGTTGGCAACTTGAGCCATGATCTGTCCTGATGGGCACCCCCAAGACTGGGACAAGAGGAGGCCATGTAACAATAAAGATGATGCTACACTCAGATCCTGAGTCCTATGTACTGACTGTTTGTTACTCCTTCCAGACTCTTTGGGATGAGCTTTGTTTTTTCTTTGTTATTTTTCTTCTTGGATTTATTGTTACCCATGACTGAACTTTCCTTAGACTAGACCAGGTGGACTTCCTTGTGGGTTTTCTGTCTCCCCTCAGTGTCCCTGGCCCCTGCTGGGAAAGGATAGATGAAAAGGGACCAGGAATGAGGGAGCAAGAAAGCGAACTCTTGCTCCTTGGTCTAGGGGTAAAGGTCTTCAGGCCTGCATTGGTCTGGTCACCCAGCTCTACTCTGGGGCCACAGTCACTGCCGTGTGACCTCTGTGGAATCAGGGGAGGAGAGAAGGGTTTCCTCCTAGGCTCTCTGGGATACTCTGCACAGGATACACTTTTCTTTATTTCAGAATAAACTGTTTGCACTTTTTTGGGGGACATACTAGAAAAGGGAGTATCTGAGGCTGACTCTGCATTCCTCTATTGCTCCCAAATCCCATTAGGCACATTGACTTTAGCAGCATGAAGGTGGGGCTTGGAGGAACAGGAGAGCCAGGGGTGTCGCCTCCTTCCAATCCCTTCAGATGAGATTTGTGCTGGCTGGGGAACTAGTGTCCCTGGGGAGAGAGTGCCTGAGGCCACCAGGATGAAAGGATGACAGCTCTGGTCTGGGCCCTGAAGGTCTAATCCAATGCCCTTCTCCTCAAGGGCCACAACCTCAGAGGGCCCCTAGCTCCAGCACCATAGTTGGGCACCACAGATCCAGGGCCTGGCTCTGAATATGTCCTTTCCTCGCCCCAGCGACCTAGTACTGCAATGTCAGTGGTGAAGGACCCAAGAGATCACCTGGAAAAACCCTGTGTTGTATAAAGAAAAACGGAGGCTCTTCATGTGAAATCCATTCTTTATTTATTGACAAATATTCACTGCTTACTTGCTAGTACAGCACCGGTGAAAGGGACAGACAGAGCCGTTGTTTGCTCTGTGAGCTTGCAGTCTTGCTCACTGGTTCTCAAAATGTGGTACCTGGACTGGCAGCATCAGCATCATCTAGGGACTTGTGAGAAATGCAAATGCATCACCTCAGACCTACGTACTGATACAGCCTTTGGGAGTGAGACTCAGAAAGCTGTTTTAACCCAACCTCCAAGTATTTCTGATGCCCAGTAATGTTTAGTTGTTACTAGTTGAGTAAAATTATACACACACAGGCACACAGACGCAGACACACACACACACACACACTTGAACAATGTGGAAGTTAGGGGTACTGACTCATGTGCAGTCAAAATCTGCATATAACTTTAACTCACCCCAAAACTTAACTACTAACAGCCTACTGTTGACCAAAGCCTTACCAACAACCTAAACAGTCAATTAACACATATTTTATATGTTATTTGTATTATATACTGTATTCTTACAATAAGCTAGAGAAAAGAAAATATTATTAAGTAAGCTAGAGAAAAGAAAATATTATTAAGAAAATCATAAGGAAGAGGTACATTTACAGTATTGAAAAAAATCAACATGTTGATGGACCTCCATAGTTCAAGCCAATGTTGTTCAAGGGTCAACTGTATAAATAAAGTAAATATACACACACACATATCTACATGCACGTATGAACACACACACACACACACACACACACACACACACACAATTTCCTCTAGGGTCCACAGCAGCCCATCACATTGGCATTATTGTCTTGCCATTTCGGACAGTTGGAAACTGAGCACACAGGATATTTGTGACTTGCCAAAGCCATACAGCCAAACTTGACTCCAAGTCTGCACTCTTTTCTACTACACATGACACCTTTCATCTTGGTCACAGTTCCTGCTCCTTCCAGAGATCTTCCCTGCATCCATCCAGTCATTTCTCCAATGCAGTTTTAGAGTTATCTAAACTGCTCTGAGCCCAGGGACTTGGCAGGGCTCAAATAGCTCCCAGGGACAATCCTAAATTTCCATTGCCCAGGCCCCTGGGTGGATGGGGGGAGGACAGGAGGGTGAGAGTCTTGGAAGCCCCAGATTTTATTTTGGTCTCTCCCTCTGTTTTCTCCAGCATGCACCTGGACCAAGACCCTCTTGTCTGGAGGGTGAATAGAAAGAAGTTCATCCCCTCAAGGTACAGAAGAAACACAGTCTTAGCTGTGAGAGAAGGTCATTCACACCTAAGAAGCCAAACCCCACCACCCCACCCCACCTACGCGCTCCAGGGCAGGGAACGGGCTCTTTATCGTAATGATCCCATGACCTGCACTGCCTTCTGAGGATAGACTCTGGTCCCTAGGATAACTAGGCCTGAAAAGGGGTTGAATAATGAGAGAATAAAGGGGTGTCTGGGTGAGTCAGACTGGGGCTGAGCCACGGAACCCCCTAGGTGCTCCTCACAGGCCATCTCTGAGGCCAGAGAAACTCAAAGTCCACATCCGTCTCTCCTGGGGCTAGTCTGAATTGGCCTCAAAAGTCCTCCACTTCCCCTGACAGAGGCCCAGCCTTGATCCTCCAGGCAGACTCACAGGGAAAAGTTACAGCCTATTTGTAGCAGTTCAGAGGAAACGAAGTATGTGTGTCTGCACATCTTTCTGTGGGCTCTGCATGTTTCTTTGCGTGTGTGTCTGCTGTTTCTGTCTGTATGCTTTAAAAGCTTGGGGTTTTAAACATGCATTTGGCAGTGGGGACTGTGACCTCAGGAGCGTGGTTTAGGATACCCTGCAGTCCTTCAACTCCCACCCTCCACCCTTTCACTGATGATCTGCCTCCAGCTCTCTGCCTTTTCCTTCTAAATTAACCATTTGAATAAAAATTAAAGAGTCCCTGGGACCAGGGCTGAGGATTCAAAATTAGATTTAAAAAGAAAAAGACCATTTATAAACTTCTTTAAAAGTGCTAAAAAGTCTGCAAGAGACTCCCCTTTGAAACTCACACTAATCTGAGGCAAATACACAGGTTGCATGGTGATGTTTCCATTTCAGTTTTATGAACTATTGCCCAGAAATGCCAATGCCCTGGCAAGGTCACAGAATGTGAGGCGGAGATAGCCAGACTCCTATTCTATGTGTGCTATCCCACCATGCTGCCTGAAGGGATGGACTGGCTTCCGGAGATGAGGGGGCAAGTCCAAGTGATGTGAGAGAGATTGGAATCATGCTTCCTACCTTGGAATCTTGTTTATATCTCTCTGCTTTCTCTATTTCCCCCCATTTCTACATTTCCCTCTCTGGAATAGCATCCTCACTGTGGAATGAGGGAATTTCCCCAGATGTTCTCAGAGGTTCCTTCCAGGTGGGCTATCCATAATTCTTCTTTGTTGTGGGCACTAGGCTAGGGTGAAATGACCTGGGAACTCCCTTACCGCTGAGCCAAACCAGCCAGGGCAACCTGGGAATCCACTGGGAAATATGAAATCCCAGGAGTCATCCCAGACTTATTTAATTTGAATTTCCAGAGAGAGAATCAGGAATTCACTTGAAAATTATTCTGATCAGCTAGAGGTAGAAACCATTGCTACAGTGAATACACAGGTGGGTGAACCTGCTGAAGATTTACAGAATAATTGACACCTACTCAGTGGCCACAGCATGAGTAGGATGTGGTGGCCGGAGGGAGCTGATCAGTAACTGTTTCATTGAGAGGTTTTATGTAATTACCTGTGTGAAGACAAATTTTCTACTCTTCAGTCTAGAGGCACCTTAAGGCTAAGGAGACTCTTCCCTTTTCCCAGTGAAATCCTCAACCCCGCTGCCACCAGAGTACCCAGAACGGGGCTCCTGTGCATGGCTGAGGTAGATGGGTTATCTGGTCTATGTTCCAAATATTTTTTACAGGGATATAGTTTTGGTATATCTGTCCTTTATCTAGGCGTTAGCCAAACATTAAGAGAGAGAAATCCCACATCCCATAGTTTGTCCTACAGACTAGAGTAGTCCTGATGAATAAGCAAATAGAACTGCCGGGCATAACTAGCTCAGCTGTTTACAATGGGATAGATTGGTAGATAGAAGTAATCAGCAGACAGGCAGCACACATGTGGATACTTCACTGACGTATTGAAGAGTAGTCCGGTGGTGACCAAGACTTCAAACAAGGCTCACAGGCTCCTGATTTCTGGCATGCTTGGACCTCCCGGAGGATCCACATGCCTGTGGCCTGAAACTAGCTAGGAACACAGGGTGATGCCTGATGATACATGTGCTTCCCCATCACCAAGGACCATCAAACTCATTCACCAAAAGATGAAGCTTCCTGACCTAGAAGACTAAACTAGAAGTATCTAAAAGCC